CCTAGCCAGGATTCCAGGTGGCACACATCACAAAGCAAGAGTATCAAAAATATCCATGAAAACACTTCTCATAGTTTATCATTAACCAACGCCATTCAAAAGGACCAAAACCTTCTTCTCAGCTAAAAATGAGACACCGATGGACAGCAGTCCAGCACCTGATATCCTCTGCCCTGAAAGCATTATGGGAAAGAAGCATCTAATGGCATTTCTGAACATTAAAAAGGAGGGGGCCATCCTGACTGGGTGAGACAAGGTCTTCCAGAGGGAGGGGGCACTACTGAGCTGGCCTGTTTTCAGACTCCCTAACATCATGATAAAGGAGATCTCTAATATATCCTCTTGACTCGTACACCCTAGGCAGACCAAATCCTCTTGAAGATGGTTTCTTCTAACACATCAGGGGGACGACATCTTCAAGGAAGCCGATTTAGGGAAAAGTCTGCCGGGATCCCATTTGTTGCAAGTGGGGCCCATTTTTTTTTTCAATAATCAGGGGATAAATATTCTTATCCATACACCCTCCACAGCAGAATTTCAGGGGTTACGTGTTCCACCCTTCAGAGAACTAGGTGATTCAGTAGCTTCTAAAACAAGCACCACAATCTACAAAATCTTCCTTCAGAAAAATCATTTTTAAAAATTACTTTTTAGGCAAACATCTATGAGGGGAAAATATAACTAACCCCACCTGCTTAAATACTCTATGGCATACAGAGATTACTTTTGGATAATGTTTCAGAAAATGTTGAGATAAATGATAAATAATGCCCAAGTTAAGAGCAATGGACATTTTCCAGTATTCCTGGGAAAGTCAATGGGTGAAGATTCTTGTACTGTAGAAGACATTTAATTCAATCTTATCTCCAAGAAAGTTATTGATCAAGATCCTTTGCTGTCTGTTGACACCATGCTGTTCACTTTTAAAATCCATGGCCAGGAGACCCTTTGCATAAATCCATCTTGTACACCACTTGCAGCCATTGCTGGTTTGGGAGGCACAGCTCATGATGACTCAAGCCTTGGTCACTTCCCAGTTGGACTATTACAATGGGCTCTATGTGCGGCTGCCCTTGAAAAGCTGTGGATGGTCAAGGACGCAGCACTCTGTGCAATTTGGAGTACACGATGGGACACCCACATAAAACCATTCTGTGTGAGCTGCACTTGCTCCCTGCATGGCACTGTCGGGCAGAGTGATAATCACAACCACTCCTGTTTGTGCAGAGCGCAGCAAAAACTCCAGGAAAATATTAGCCATGACAGCAAAC